AGAAGGGGACGGAGTGTATCGGCGGATCGCGAACGGTGACATTTGACGACTTGGGATCGCGTTACCACACGCACTGCGACCCGCGTCTGAACGCATCGCAATCGCTAGAACTGGCTTTTATAATCGCTGAACGCCTCAGGAAGCGACGGATCCAGTCCCTCCAGTCTTTTGCTCCCTAAGCGTCTTCCCTTGCGTTTCCATCTGCTCCCTAAACATATACATTATATAACACGACGCAGCTCACCGACGGAATATCACCGCCCGTAGCGTTTAAGCGCTGGAGGAGCTCCCTGAACGGAGAGAGGCAGTTCTTCATGGTGGACTGGCAGAGTGCTGGGATATCCTGCGTCGCGTCCAGGTCTGACTCCGGTAGACCGTCAGGGATCGTCTCGAACCGGAACGAGCGAAGCCCGTCTAGCGCGTGAGGGCCACGCGACCGGAGGAAGCGACGGTGGTTGAACTCTGTGTTGACGAAGGTGACGTGGAAGCCTCTTGCGTGGAGAAGCTTCGCCACTTTCATCATGGGGTTGATGTGGCCTTGTGCCGGGTATGGAATGCAAACTGCGTGCGGTTTTTGTGAGCCTGAATCGGCATGTTTTCCCATTTTCCTTTTTGTGTCTGGACTCTGGACCTCTCCTTATTCACTCTGGCGACGACTGACTGGAAAGCCGGGTTGGTTTCAAGGTTCATATATAACACAAGAGACATACATAATGGCTGGTCTTTTCGATACCACGTGGCAATCATCTACCGGTTTTCGTTCGATGAGGGATCATATCATCGATTTTCCTGAAAACATTTTTTTTGGAAAAAATATAGATAGTCCGGCACCGTTCATTTGAAATCGATCACATGCCACAAGTACGAAATCAATCACATGTCACAGCCCACAGGTATAGATATACACACACATGCGCGTCGTGTGTGTGTCAATGATGGAGCTAAAACATTTCATTTTTAATACGTTCGCATGGCCAAACCCTGATTTTTTTACAAAAAATTACAAATTAAGGTTTCATATTTCTTATTATAATATTAAGAAGATAAATAATATTGCTGGAGAATAATCTGAAATTCAAATCCACGAAATCGATTCTCTGTTTTTCTTTTCCAGACATTAATATCTGAACTAACTAAACTGCATGGATAGAAAAGTCTATTATTATTTTTTATTATTATTGATAGATTTACAGATTCATTGTTAGAAGACCCCGTATTCGGTAAAAAAAAAAAATGTATTCAATTATTTGTTTCCGGTGAGAATCTAATAGATCTTTGTGGTCCTCTTTTTTTTTTTTTTCCTCCATCAATGTTGAAAACTACGTCTCAGATCACATTTTGTTACCTTTGTTAATCTTTATATATGGACCATTTTGATCAAAAAATTACATTACTCATCGCCAGTAAAATCGAACTCAGAACATTGAGAATGATTTTGTCATCTCTCAACCATCGTGTTACCAACTGTTGGGTGTTTTTGTGTTTTAACAGGCTTTTATTTTCATAGAGATTTCAACAGTTTTGTTTTGAAACGAAACTCCTGACTATTTATGGCCACACACCTCCACACTTTTGGTGATAATGGCATCACTAAAAATGGAAAATTTGGGTTTCCATTGGATTTATTCGGTTTAGTTATTTCTGGGTTTAAAATTTTTATAAATTCACTCGAACATAGTTCCGTTAATTTTCAAATTTTTTGATAAAAAGATTAATTTAAAAAAAAAAGAATTTGTATTATATTTATATTTCATTTAAATTGTGTTTTTTAGCATCTCTAAAATTTACACGAACTTTATATCAAATTTAAGTAAAATAATATTATAGAACCAACACGGGCCGGATCGTCATGGGATTGGTGAGCCGACTCGGAAGCCGACGAAGCGGTCGTCGGAGTAACTGAGGCTTATTATAATTGAGACTGGGCTTTGTCTTCATTCCTAACGGCCCAATGAGCTGATTCTAAACTTTGGTTGGGCAAGCGAGGGAAGTACATTCGATTTTCTTATTTACCACGAGTATACGCAGATGCAAGCAACAATAAAATAAATCTGGTAAGATGTGTATCTGTAACAGATTTTTTATAACCAAAATATATATCACTTTTGTGTATTTAAAATACCGAAGCTTATTATATTCGATTATGATTTTTTTTAAAAGATGGGGTTGGAGAGAGTAATTTACTAATGAGTGGGTAGGTGAGTTTGAACGCTAATCCATTCCACGATGACAATTAGATCGTACCCTTTTCCGTAATATTAACTCTCAATCAGGGGTATAATCGTCAAGTTACGAGGAGCACACGAACTTTTTCTTCTTCTTTAAGCAAACACTCGAAAGGCAAGCAATTACTGCTTTCCTATCGCGAAACGAATCTCACGCTGAAGTGGAAAAAAAAACACTTCACCGTTAATAGTTAGTAAATAATTCTGTATGTATAGACCATTGTAATTGACGTGTTTACCCCTCCACCCACAAGAAGCCAACACAGGGGAAATGTCTTTTTGTAGAATGACAGAAATACCCTCGCGAAGGATCACCTACCACACCACGACGTATGCTTTTTACCAAACCAAACGCCACCGGCTCTCCCCGTTTCCTTATAAAACCCTTCAACCTCTCTCTCCCATTTTCTCAGGTTCCTTGTAGTCTCACGCACTTATCAGAACCTCAGAAACACCCACAGAGAGAGAGGAATCGACAAAATGGCCCTCACGAACAGCTGCATGAATCTCCCCTCGTCCAAGTCGATGATCTACCACCGCCAATCGGGATTCTCCGCCGCCCCCAGAGCGGCAT